TGCTACCTGCAAGCGTTGAACTGACGCAATCAAAACATGCACGCGGAAGCCGAGCTCGCCAGGGCAGGCGCGCGCGCGTACTGCGCGAACAGCTTAAATTTACACACGCGCGTGTACACGCGACTTTATTTACCCGGATTTTATTATTGCTTTCCTCGGAAATGAATTGATTTCGCAATTTCGTCGCATGAGCTGCAAATTTTTCGCGGCTTTTATGATCGCTATCCGGTAATATCCGTGTTCGTCTCACCGTACACTCACTCATACCCGCGAGCCATTCCGCGTTCCTGACCCAGTACACGCTGCTGCTACGAATCCCCCCTCCGTACATCCGTCCTCCGTAACCTCTCTTTTAGACAATCATCTAGTGTTTTTCCGCTGCTTCTTTTCCGCGAATGAACTGCGGTCGACCGCACGCAGAAAGCGCCGCATTCATTAATGCGACCTAGTTTCGATGGGATTTCAGGCGGGCATGCGCAGCGTTAGCGCCACACCGCACGCAGTCGGACATTTTACGAGATGTCGTACACGGGGATGCGAAATACGTCGTTAGCCGTCAGCATGCAGCTCATCGACAAAGATCACGTCCGCGATACGAGAAATGTAAGACGCGGTCAAGAATGTGCGAACTGTTGTACGGCGAAAATTAATCAAGCGTTGTCAATGCATCGTGTTCGTTGTTATCGGAGAATCTCGTGACCTTCACGATCGGGCAATAAGTCAACAATAGTTTGAATTACTTCCGTATAGTATGCGGATGTGAATGTAGTGCTCGATAAAGAGAATATATAGTAGTACTAGTAGTATGTACTACTAGTAAAAGTACTGTATGAGTACTATATTTAGTATGGCGAAGAGAGTATTAAGGATACATACAACAGTAAGCCTCAGCAAATTGTTCACCGCACTATTTGATCTCTAGAAAAGGCCTTTTGGCATTTCTTTCGATGAAATTCGTCGCTAGAGTGCACTCTTTTGCATTATTCACGCAAGTTTAGATGCCTCGTGGACATCTAGAAAGCATTAGAAGTAAAATTGGTCTTGTCGTGTAGCTGTGACATTCCGTCAAGTGGCGTAGCCATGGTGACCGGTTGGTAATTTTTGGGTTTGAAATGTGATCTGTCTACCTTGTAGAAACTCGCATCATAGAGCTGACAAAAGTTTCAAGCGGAGCAAAGAGCATGAATCTGTAGTTATTTAACATGAATAAAGTGTATGTTGTGTATGCGACGAAACAGTGTGATCATTTTTAATTAATTTCTGTTCTATGCTTATTCAGTCCTGCTGCCTATGGACGCCCTCTACTGTTATACAACACCTTGGCTAGGTAAAACCTAGTCAGAGAACGGCACCGTGGGGAGAGCTTGGCGACAGTGCTGCCATGTATGCCGCATGGTGGCATGTTTACTAAACTCTGCGGGAGCATGTAAACGATATTATAGTTTTACGATAATGTACGTAAATGCGCCATATATACTGGATTATCGCTCGCGCTCTCTCTCGCCCCTCTCTCTGCCTCCTCTTCCTCCTCCCCCTACACGTCCTCCTCTACCTCCTCTCCCCTCAATCCTTCTCTTATTTGCTAGCTCTCTCTCTCTCTCTCGCTCTCTTTCTCTCTCTCTCTCTCTCTCTCTCTCTCTCTCTCGAGAAAGAGAGAGAGAGAGAGAGAGAGAGAGAGAGAGAGAGAGCGAGAGAGAGAGAGAGGGAGAGAGAGAAAGAGAGAGAGAGAGAGCGGTCTTTTCCTTATCTCTCTACTCTAACCATCATTTGAGGTTTCTATCACTCCTACAATTACGTGTTAGTATATTATAGGTTTACGTTATAGGTAACTTGTTCACGTGTTGGTAATGTGTGCTGCTGCAATTTCCGGTCACGGATGCGAGTTATGTGAAATTCGCGGAGAGGAACTGATGAAGTATACGTGCGTGCATGCGTGCGGTATATGTGCATAGGTAGGTGCACGCGCACATTCACGCATCGCGTATGTCCTCGGTTGCGTGTTCTTATTTGTGTGTGTGTGTGTGTGTGTGTGTGTGTGTGTGTGTGTGTGTGTGTGTGTGTGTGTGTGTGTGTGTGTGTGTGTGTGTGTGTGAGGTTGTCGCATGCCGCGTGTGGCCGTGTCTTGCTCGTGTGCCGCGTGTTGCGCGGTTGGGCGTCGCATGTGCAGTCAGCTCGCGTGTCTGCATGTTGAACGCGCATACGAGCGCGTGTGTGTTGTGTGTTGTGTGTGTGCTTCGTCGCCGGTGTGCCGCACTTTATTGCGATTACACCAGTCGTTTTCGATCGCCCCTATAGTTTGAGCATGTTATCAGATAGCCTATATCTTGAGCAGATTAGTCTTTCCCGCTTAATATCGTGCAACCTACCATGACCATGTCTGAGAACTAGACAGAGGGCACTCAAAGAGAATGCATCCCTCCTGCGCAGCTTGTAACATGTATACAGTTGTATAAACAAGCTGGCTCGCTGCTGCGTGCTGCTGACCTGGTACGGACCTAAGGCGAGCTGCTGCTGACTGGACTCCCTAAGGCGAGCTGGCTGCTGACTGGACGCCCTAAGCGCAGCTGTGATCTCTGAATCGATCGCTGACGGCTTGAGCGTGTATATATACAGCTGCTTCGCTGTCTGGCTACAACCAGCACACACGAAACACTCACGAACGACACCACGAAAACACACCACACACGACACCACGCGAAGCGATTACATTACCTTCCTGCAACTCCGTTGCGCGGAGGTAACTAAGCCACCATACTTGTTTCCATGTAATCCTGTACAAATACGGTCAATTCACAGCTATGTACAGGAAATTAGTTTGATGCAATGTACATGGGTGTGAGCGCATAGTACCTTACCACGTGCGTGGCGTGATTGTGCGTGCGTGTCGTGCGTGTGAGTGCGGTGCGTGGATGTGCTGGTATATGATGCGCGTGTGGCTTGCTGCTCCGGTGTTCTGTAGGGGTGTGGTGTGTGTGTGCTGTGTTGTGTGTCGCTGTGTGTGTGTGTGTCGTGTGTGTGTGTGTGTGTTTGTGTGTGCGTGTTGTGGGCTCATGTGGCGGCTGTGTTGCGTAAATGCGCAGCGGCGCGCGCCGGTGTGTATGTGGTTGTCGAGCGTCGTGCCTGTGTGTTGCGCCAGCGTGTTTGTGCTGTGCTGGTGTGTGTCGTGGTCGTCGTGGTTGTGTCGCCGTTGTGTTGTGTGGCGTTTCGTGCTGTGCGTGTGTGCGTGGTGTGTGTGCATGTGGTGGTGCTGGTGTGGGTGTCTTAATGTATGCGCGTGCGTGCGTTCGTGCGTGCGTGTGCGTGCATGCTTTACTAAGACACAACTACCCGCGACAATACTTGATCGGCTTGTTAATATCGACGCGCCCGGGATCAATTATACTGGCGTTTGTCGAGTTACATGTAATTACATACTAATTACATCGAATATCCTGTTGATAAACCGTTCTATATGCGTAATAAGCTATAAGAGATCAATTTTCTCCGATAGGCCAGTGCAAAAATATGCATGCGTGCGGGAAGGATGAAGGAGTAAAATGATGTATGTGAGCGTTCTTGCGGGCGCGATCGATCGAGAGTGGGTGGTGCAATGCATGCGCGCGTGCGTGTCCGTGCGCGCGCGTTTACACCAGCGTGAGCATATAGCAATTAAACGCATCGACGGCAAGCTATGCATTTTCGAAAAGATGACAAACGCATTACGTGCTTATATAATTAGGGTTCCCCGTTCCATTATGCTAGCCGCACACTATACGATTTTGCTCGGGCCGCAGTCGTAAGCCCTCGCACACTAATACGCTCGGCAGCCGATCAATCGGGAGGCCCCCGCACACTGTACGACTCAAAAGTCGGCGCTAACCATGGCGCTCTCGTGGCATTCCAAGCGGATTTAGCGGGTCGGGAGTGTTTTCCCGCCATTTTCACCGAATGCGGTTCCCATGGCGCTGCTCTGTGAATGGTCAATTTTCTTCAGCGCTCGGCGGCGGGTCGGATGGCCACACACACTATCCGAGTCGCGTCGTAAGCCCTCGCACCCGCTCCGCTCCCGATTCAAAATTCGAATTAGCCCAAAATGACCTCCCGATCCAGACTTAAGCCTCCCGATCCAGACGTAGGCCTCCCGATCGCGCTCGGGTCGTATAGTGTGCAGCTAGTTATGTATACCATATTTCGTATACCAACGCGAACTTCTTGTATACTACGCGCGAACCACATAGGCTAGGCACCATAAGCGTCACTAACACACGCATATGATGTGAGAACTAATAGATCGTACAGGAGCTTAGGGCTTTAATAGATCGCGCAGGTGAGGATGTCTATAATAGATTAGTAGATCGTACATGTGATGCGTGCTTTAATAGGCAGTCAATGCGATGAGGGATTGAATGGGCCGTACTGGTGATGTTAGCTTCACTAGGTCACATATATGCGGGGTTCAATAGGTAGCAGAGATGACATCAGTTGCTGTTGATATAGTACCAATGTCCGAACGCATCTTGGCTATACAATATTCAAGAATTTCATTAATTATAAAGTTGGATTATGCGAGTAGGAATGCATCAGTGCGAATTTAATGGGTTTGTTTAGGTGTTGCTGACAGAAGGGGCAGATGCGGAAGGATACAACAGTCATGGACAACCATACACACGGCGAGAAGGTCACTACCTCCCACCCATTACTCACGAATCGCTGAAATATGCGTGCCGGTACGAATTAGGACAAGACAACTGTAACATTTACAATACTATCAGCGTTGTCTAGGTTCTTACATATATATATATATATATATATATATATATATATATATGTATGCGGTGATCTTTTTCTCGCGTTCTATTGTGATCGGGCGCGGATCTAGCGCGCCTACGGTGAGAGCCATGCGGGTCAGACTGCACGCACTGCGACCAGCAAGTTTACTAGAGCAAAGAGAGAGTGGATGCGCACCGTAGTGGGGTGGGGTAAGCAACTGCTACTGTGCTCCATCAGTAGGGCGGGAAACATCGATAGGAGATTACCGGTAGTGTGCCAGTGGTTTAATGCGGTGTACATAGAGGCAGTGCAAGGTAGCCATACGCCATAACGGCATACATCCAGACGGAGGGCGGATAGGCCTAGGCTTCGCGTATAAGGTAGGATTCCTTCTCGATGCTATTGTTTAAGGATCTATTAGTGCTGCTTTCTTAATCTTTCATGCGCACGCGCACACAGCACGCAAGCACACACGTCACGTGTCCATGGACGAGGAGTTAATCATGGAAAACGAATTATAGCAAAGGGGTTTTCTCCAATTTATCGTAATGCACATAACCGCATACGGGTATATTGCCTACAAATCGGTGCACGCGCGCGCACACATATGTCCAACGAGAAACGCGCGCGTTACATATAGGAGTCACAATGTCACAATGCGAACACTGGCGGGATTTGCTGCTGCCAAATGTATATGGTCGCTGAGCTATCTCGCTAATTGACATCGTACTGTCACATTACGGGGACACCGAACGCCACCCCCGCATGCAGCAGCCTGTTCTGCGTCCGCATCAGATGAATAATTGCCATTTAAATCTCTAGATGCTAATCGGTAGCACAATTTCAGTCGCAGCGCGCGAGACAGATGTCTCCTCAGAAGCCGCGCTTAATATTCATCAAAATCTGCTCGCGCCATTTCTTGCGGCGTCTGCGAGAATTCGTCCGCCTTTCAAACCGCGCCGACTCACTGCTCGTTGCATCCCGAACCAGCTCCCTGTGATCCCGGAAGCGGCGGTGCGATGCATCCGCGGGCAAATTGCGGCCGAGATCAAAGTCTCGTGCATCGAACCTCCGGGCTTGAGTTCGAATCGCCGAGATTTCGCATTCGTCGCGGAAACGGCGGCGGCGGTGGTGGCGGCGATTCGTCGCGCGGATTTTCTTTCTGCGCGCGGCAGCAGCCGTTTTTACGACCGATTTCACTCGATTACGCAACACGCGGTTTGCTCGCCTGGTCGAGCGGCAGCAGATTATATAGCGCCATCTAGCGCCGCATTGCGATGCACACTGGCGACATACAGCGGCGGCGCGGAAAACAACGTCGATAAGCCACCGCTTGAAAATAATTCACCGGAAAACGTGCTCTGTGGCTCGAAAAATGGAATTACTAGGATGCTGTCGATGGTACTGCCCACGCGATGCGGCTTGTTGTCTGTTTTGGTTGGGCAGTGTTCTTCTATCCCCTCAATGGTAATACGGTTACGCACACATTGTACGTAAAAGGTCACGATAGATTTAACTTGCCGCAATGTTTGCGCATCGTCGTCTATTGGTGGGTTGATACGGGTTGTTTCAACATATAGGCTATTATATTGACGCTCGTGTAATAGCTGTTTTAAGGCCCGACTGCGATAGACCGCGCTTAAAAAATGGCCACAGTTTTTTTACTCTCAACAGAACATCGACATTCGGGGGAGACAAATAGTTGTGCTAGCGACCATTTTCCGCAGTCTGCATCAACGCGACATCGGTGGTATTCTTTACTCCATGTGTACTATAAACATTGCGTGTAGAATTTCAAAAAAATAAAAATTCGCTGTGAATGTATATAGCCGGATGTTGGCATTTGTACGCGAAGTCGGTCGCACGAGATGCAAACAGTGGAATGAACGTCATCGTGTTCACGGTTCACGGCACTGGCGATTGCTCATTGCAACGAATTAATGGAACAACGACGACACAACCGCTCACCAGTTCGTTTCGAAAACACTGCTGGCCGTTTAAAGGAAGCACGTAGAGGCCACGAGTGTTGACGCGCCAGGTTGCCGATGAATATCAAACGCCGTGAGAAAAAAGCCAATTACCAATATTTACACACGTTATCTTTAATTATTACAGAATGTATGTTAACAGTTTCTTTTTTTCTTTTTTTTATATAGGCAGACATGACCGACATACGTCTCTTGATCTTGGGCATTGCCATTGTACGTATATAATCGTGAACAAGCGTTCGTAAACAGTGCTCGCCTGTACCCATCTGCGCGCACGTTCGCCTATGCTATAGGGCACACAATTTTCCTAATGCAGCGTGAATGGTTTTGCTCAGTCGCACTGAACGGGCTGATGCGCATCGCAAACACGTCGTCCCAAAATTCGCACCGCAGCTAGCGTGGCGTAGGAGCGTAGTAAGGAGTAGTAGGGCGTAGTAGGGCGTAGTAGAGAGTAGTAGGGCGTAGCAGCGGAGGAGTGTGGGTTGTCTACCAGAACACGCGCGCGGAGAACAACAACTACTACGATACGTCGGCCGGTGTTAACGGCAGACACGCGTGTCGTGTTGTCAGATCAGCTCGCAGATTCACCCGCTACCTGCGGGAGAAACACATAATTATATCATAACAAGAGTGCATAACATAGATCTATCCTGATAATATGTGAAGGTTCATAAGCATGCATGCACACACTGCGAGTGGACTGAGTAAACCTTATAGGCATGAAGCTGCCATCCGCCGTCCCCGTGACGACTCTCACATTGAGTTTTGTAGATATTATTACTTTGGGCATTTTGCGGAACACTCTTCTACCAACGGTGGCCGTATATGTAGCGATTCTGCCAGCTATAGTATATATATAACGCACACAAATACATATAGACGATGACGCCTCAGTGCGGTAAAATACACGTGTTATCAGGGGAAGAAGCACAGCAGCTCCTAATGAAAAGTGAAATGACATAGAACTGCAGTGGTGAGCGTATAATAGCGTGTGAGTTATGCGTACGTCACAATGTACTTTGAACTTGCAGCGGTGTGCATATAATTCTGCAGATAATCCTGGTAACAATACACTACTATAATAATAACTAACAATAACTAACTGGTAACAATAACTAACAATAACAACTATAACTAACAATAATAACAACTATAACTAACAATAATAACAACTAACAACTAACAATAACAACAACTATAACTAACAACAACTATAACAACAACAACAACAACAACAACAACAACAACTATAACAACAATAACTAACAATAACAACTAACAATAATAACTAACAATAACTAACTGGTAACAATAACTAACAATACACTTTCAACAATACAGTGTGTATTGTTGAACACCTTCTAACAATACACTGTGTATTGTAGTAGGTACCTATGAGCTTTCAACAATACACTGTGTATTGTTGAACACCTTCTAACAATACACTGTGTATTGTAGTAGGTACCTAACAACTGTGTATTTAAATTCAATTTTCAATAAATTCAATAAAATCAATAAACTCATTTCAATAAATTCATTTAAATAAATGTCAATTTCAAGTTTACAAATCAAAAAGTAAACTAATTAAAAAAGAAAAAGAAAAAGAAAGTGTATTGTTAGAACGTGTTCAACAATAAACAGTGAATTGTTGAAAGCTCATAGGTACCTACTACAATACACAGTGTATTGCTGAAAGCTCATAGGTACCTACTACAATACACAGTGTATTGTTAGAAGGTGTTCAACAATAGACAGTGTATTGTTGAAAGCTCGCACAATACACAGTGTATTGTTAGAAGGTGTTCAACAATAGACAGTGTATTGTTGAAAGCTCGCTAGCCATACACAGTGTATTGTCAAATGCCTAAACATACAACACACTGTGTATTGTTAGTTACCAGGATTATCTGCAGATCATACTAGCATGTGAGTTATGCACACGTCACAGCATACGTTGAAATTGGGAAGAGGTGAATGGTACGTAATAACAGCAGCTGTTCCCGCCGCCATGCAGACGAGTTCACAGTCGAAGATTAGACGTCGTGTTGCGAAATACTATTTGCTCGGATCTTCTCCATCGCCTGCGAATCGTAATCTGCGGTGGATGCGCTGAACGCGTGGCTGCGAATCAGGCGTATGATGCGCGCCGGTTAATTTCACAGTTGACGTGAGCTTCGTTAATGCATACAGACGCCGTGGATGTCAATAAAACATATTGACGAACATGCGGACGCTGTTTGAGTGTCAAGGAGATTTAGTAGTGAGTTGAGTTGTTGTATAATTTAGATGGCGTGGGCGTCGATAGTATACTCACCCCCGCGCGCACGCTCACGCACACGCGCACATACACGCGCGTACGCACGCACGCACATACACGCACACGTATTCACACGCACACAAGCATGTACACACGAACGCACGCACTCACACGCACACGCACGCGAGCACGTACGCACGAACGCAGGCACACACACGCACACACAGATGGCGTGAGCGTAAGGCATACATATATCGATGGCATCATCGTTAATGAGATATGTAAATGGCATAAGCGTCACTAACACACGCATATGATGTGAGAACTAATAGATCGTACAGGAGCTTAGGGCTTTAATAGATCGCGCAGGTGAGGATGTCTATAATAGATTAGTAGATCGTACATGTGATGCGTGCTTTAATAGGCAGTCAATGCGATGAGGGATTGAATGGGCCGTACTGGTGATGTTAGCTTCACTAGGTCACATATATGCGGGGTTCAATAGGTAGCAGAGATGACATCAGTTGCTGTTGATATAGTACCAATGTCCGAACGCATCTTGGCTATACAATATTCAAGAATTTCATTAATTATAAAGTTGGATTATGCGAGTAGGAATGCATCAGTGCGAATTTAATGGGTTTGTTTAGGTGTTGCTGACAGAAGGGGCAGATGCGGAAGGATACAACAGTCATGGACAACCATACACACGGCGAGAAGGTCACTACCTCCCACCCATTACTCACGAATCGCTGAAATATGCGTGCCGGTACGAATTAGGACAAGACAACTGTAACCTTTACAATACTATCAGCGTTGTCTAGGTTCTTACATATATATATATATCAAGAGTAGATAATAGGAGATTAGGTAGGAGAGTAGATAATAGGAGGAATAGTCTCCTATTATCTACTCTTAATATATATATATATATAAATTCCTATATATATATATATATATTATATACAAACACAAAATTATTCATATATACAACGATTATCTTTCTATACACATTTATGTTATTTCTGCTTCCACCCATATAGTGGGAAAGTTGGTCGCTACAGAAAACCCGCGTCGCTTCTCATGATTAAAACTATCGTACATAACATCGCAGGTTTCCGTCCGTGCTCGATCTGCATCGTAAAGGTTACGGCTGCGGCCACGGAGGTTACGGGGGAAGTCATGGCAGCCATGGCAGCCACGGCGGCTACGGTAGCCACAGCTCGAGCGGTTACGGACATCACCAGAGACCCTACACGAAGGTAGGCCACGATCCCGCCCATATATGCGAATAACGCCATTCGCGAGGACGGATCACGTGATCTATCACGGCGCCCGCGATCTGACGCGAGTAACCACAGCGGATCATATAAATATATATAATATCAGGTCCGGCATACGGTACGAAGCGGTCGTGGAATTTGAATGATTCGAATTGGTTCAACAGCCGCATAGACACACGAGCGCACACGACTGTTTGGCGGTAAAGCCGAGCTGTGGTGTGTGTGTGTGTGTGTGTGTGTGTGTGTGTGTGTGTGTGTGTGTGTGTGTGTGTGTTGTGTGTGTGTGTGTGTGTGTGTGTGTGTGTGTGTGTGTGTGTGTGTGTGTATTAATACTTTATTTGCCTGAAATAACGGCGTATTTGCAATTGCCACAGATGCGACCTGTCGAACCGCTAACGTTCACGACATTTAAAGCGCGCTATTGTTAGCGAGTAGCGAGCGATGTTAGTGGAGTATACTAGCAAAGTGTGATCTATCACCTACGATTATATTCGTTGATCATGTTAATACAAGCTTGTGTCGCCACTGTCCTACGATCGCACTAGCTCGCTAAAGCTGGGGGTAGATAAAAATTTTTTTTACATATTTTATCTTTTTATTTTGTTTTAAGAGATTTAATGATTGTTGCTAAATTAAAATAGGTCAGCTGAGTGTCTAATGACAGCCCTCCAATTGTGCTTCGGCTCCGATGTAACAAAAATAACGGCAATAACGCACGTCATGTAACAGTGCCTTGTACTTAGCTTGCCAGTCTACTACGACTTCTTCGAACAAAAGGTATCTTATGTATCTTAAAACAGCGGCATTAACGTTAACTTCAGAAGAACCCATTGACAAGAAAATCGCTTTTGTGCGCAAGATTTCAATTCGTATTTCTTACCAGCCGTTCACCTTACTGTGCGCATGTAAAAACCTGTCTCGCATAAACTTATTGTTCATAAAAAAACGGTGGTTATTGGCTGCTTAAAGTTATAAGCTTATGAGAAAGGTGGAAGTAAAGTGTATTTACTCAGCTCAAGTTCATACTTTAATAAATTACCATTAGTATACTGTTACAGAGATGTATGTTGTTATCGGTTGCGTCCTGGAGCAGGAAGTGTCTATTCATAAAACAGTAAAACGCGTATTTAATACACACTTCGCGAACTTCAACTCAACACCTACTGCCCTTTATAAATTTTTAATGCCGAAATCCACAATTGGCCTTGAATTCAAATAATTGGGTATGCCACCAGCGGTGATCTTGCTTTCACCAGCGAATACATTAATTAAATTTATGCAAATAAATACGCGCATAAAAGACCCGAAATAGCAGAAATTCAGCCGTACATTGTCATGCGTTTAACCAGTCACGGCAAGTTACGCTTATGCGAAAAGATTGGTAGCGCACCGAGTACTGCGATGCGCGTGACGGAAAGACACTCGTGCATGCCCTTCTCCCAAATATTCAGCTTTGTTATTTGCGCCGCGGCTGTCATACGCGTCGCGAGGCATTCAGATATGTCCGTGATGGAAATTCCCGTGCCTATACATATACAAAAACCTGGCCTCCAGGCGCGCTCGTAGACGACGCCGCACAAGAATCTCTCCGTCGAGCGGTCACGTGACGCTTTCCTGCTTCATTGCGGTCGGCTGCGCGATGTGGGTGTGTGTGTGTGTGTGTGTGTGTTGGTGTGTTGTGGTGTGTGTGTGGTGTGTGTGTGTGGTGATGTGGTGTGTGTGTGTGATGTGTGTGTGTGTGTGTGCATGATGTGAGAGAACACCATGCACGAGAGACCAATGCATTTTATAAAGTACCAAAGTAACGCCAAAATAAAATAAATAAATGAATTATAATAATAATATATATATGTATATAGTATATATTTTAATTAATAATATGTATATATATACTGTGTGTGTGTGTGTGTGTGTGTGTGTGTGTGTGTGTGTGTGTGTGTGTGTGTGTGTGTGTGTGTGTCTCCGTGTGTGTGGGCACGTGCGCGCGCGCGTGTGTGTGCACAGCGATAATTTGCTCTCTCATATCAAATTTGTGTTTGCGCAAGCGTTTTACGCGTCCGCCATTCCGCAAAAATCGTAACGCGCGATACTACCACTACGCGCATGCGCGGTCAGATCGACAAACACTACATCACGAGATCGGCGCAACAATAGAGGCTCGTGACTGAACGTAACATCTTCAACCTACATCTTGAGATTTAGGCGTAGTAAAAAACAGACATGACGCACAGGAATTATACATGTTTTTACGCTCTCGCGTTTATCGAATCTTAGAATTTATTTTTCAAATGCGGCCGCGATAACGATAAACTCTGTGCACTCAATTCGCTTCGGGCAAGTGGATTATATGAATTTATTAGGTATTCATAAGCCCACGCGCGTTGAGGAGCACCGCAAGTACACTTCTTGCATGATGACGCGTGCCGAGAGTCTATACTTATAGAAAGCTAAAGAGATGATCTGGTTAATTCACGTACGCGCGTAACTTCGCAGACAAACGGCAGTCTCAAATGGTAACGATTACGCACAATAGAGGAAAGTTGTCTAACAAGCCATGTTTATGTCGTTGCTGATCCTGCAACTGGAAAGTCCTGTAGAAGTCGTCTGCCGTTAAAAAACAAAAAAATCGAGTTGCGTCACGCACAACAGACGCTGTGCACGTCATATTTTTCTTAATTATCACAAATATCATGACTCTCGAGTACATCACTTAATCGCGGGAAATAATACGCCGCCGGGCATCGGCGCGGATATAAATATAGAAGCTACGAACTAGCCGCTGCGCCGTAACGAGCAAAGCGAGACTGCTGTCCGTGCATCTGATTAATCTAATTGAAGATGATTACAACGTAATGAGCAATCAGCGGACGAGACGAGTGCAAACGAGCTGCTCGCAATCTTCAATCGTGCGCGTTTTGCAGAGAATTATGCTGAAAAAAAACCCTCACCGACGTCTAGTATTTACGGAAAGGGTTCGAAAAAAGCACCGGGATGAAGTGTTTTTTTTTTTACTCTCTGCGCGTAGGGAGAATCCGGCTACGTCGGCTACGTGCCGTACGGACCTGGTCCGGGAAAAGTGATCGAGTACCTGAACACCGGCCACGGCTATGGAGGTCACGGCGGAGGTCATGGAGGTCACGGCGGAGGTCATGGAGGTTACGGTGGAGGTGGCTACGGCGGAGGTCACGGTGGAGGGGGCTACGGGGGAGGTAGTCACGGTGGAGGGGGCTACGGGGGAGGTGGTTACAGCCACTGATCATGAATATGTACACTACAATAGTCTTATCGTTACGGAATAGCCAATAACTAACGTTGTCATAGAATAGCATTCATGATAGTATTCAGAGAGCTGCGGGAACAGTAGCCCACCCACTAACACATGACGTCACAGAACCATTGCAGACGGAGGAATTGTCTTTCAGCTAAAGCTGTTTATTGATGTCAAGCCCTTAGGTGGGATTATCGCAAGAGCAGCTTATTATTAATTGATTAATTCGAGCTCGTGGGGATTATAAATGAGTAAGAAGATTAACGAGAAGGGATTACACTGATTTTAAATTAAGGAAATGCGATACGTGTTGCTGATCATGCGCAAAACCCACCATGCCAAGGCCTGAAGCTAAATGATCATATTCCCGTGTACATTTCACCATGTGAAAGTTCTGTGATATTTTACTAAATATTGTGATCCGATTACGATCGGAATTTTAATATTGTCTATCGCTAAATATTTCATATTCGCACGCGGTTCAACGTGTCCCCCGGGAAGCGAGCGAATACACTTCATATTTAAACGTCTATATTTTGTTATCGTTAAGAGGCTTGTTAATTAAATATCGCCGAGTAATTAGAAACTATGCCGTCTAATTATATCATGCCTAATAGCACTCCACACAGAAACTATTCATAGCGGCAGTTTTAGCTCTTTAGCTGTAGGTCCGGGTGCATGATAAATGCATGTGATAGCTGCTAGATCGTTAGCATTTGAAGGTTTTCTTGTACGATTATTAGCGACTTTACTTTTATGCTTTAATCGTGGGTCTAGAGGTTCACTGACTTTGTGGGCCGGGCTCTAGATGCCTGTGCCTTGATAAGCCGTCTCTGCCGTCGTGGAGTGAGATAGAGGCAGACAGAGAAAGAGAGGGAAACGAAATGAGTGATCAAAATGAGAGAGGAGAGAGAGAAAGAGGAGAGAGAAGCAGTGAGGGGCAGACAGAATAAGAAAGTTGAAAATTATCCGCTTTATTCGCATATGGTATGGGCGGACTCGCTTTCCTATATACGCATAAATGATGACTCCTACCTATATGAACAGCGATAAAATGATCAAATATGGAGTAGTGATAACTGGTATCGGATCGGTTAAAAAACGCATGGTTGCTTGCCTTTTTTATATTAATATTTATTTGCCTGAAATACGGGTATTTGCCATTGCACAGATGACCTGTCGAACCGCTATTAACGCGCGTATGTTAGCGAGTAGCGAGCGATGGTTAGTGAGTATACTACAAGTGTGATCTATACCTACGATTATATCGTTGATCTATGTATAACAGCTCTGTGTCGCACTGTCCTACGATCGCACTAGCTGCTAATAGCTGGGGGTAGATAAAAAAATTTTTACATATTTTATTTTTTATTTTGTTTTAAGATTTAATGTATTGTTGCTAAATAAATAGGTCAGTGAGTGTCTAATGACAGCCTCCAATTGTGATTCGGCTCCGATGTAACAAAATACGGCAATAACGACGTCATGTTAACAGTGCCTTGTTATTCTAGTTGCAGTCTACTACGACTCTTCGAACAAAAGTAGTTTATGTATGTTAAAACAGCGGCATTACGTTACTTTAGGAAGATACGATTTAAAGAAATGCGCTTTTTGTGCTCGAAGGATTTCATTCGTAGTTCTTACAGCGTCACCTACTGTGCATGTAAAAAACCTGTCTGCATAACTTATTGTCATAAAAACGTGTATTGCTTAAAGTATAAGCTTATGAGTAAAGTGAAGTAAAGTGTATTTACTCAGCTCAGTTATTACTGTTAATAAATTACCATTAGTATACGTTACAGAGATGATGTTGTTATGTTCGTCCTGGAGCAGGAGGTGCTATTCATAAAAACAGTAAACGCGTATTTTAATACACACTTCGCGAACGTCAACTCAACACCTACTGCCTTATAAATTTTTAAGTGCCGAAATTCACAATTGCCTTGAACAGATAATGGGGTATGCCACAGCGGTGATCTTGCTTTCACAGCGAATAGTTAATAAATTTATGCAAATAAATGCGCAAGACCCGGAAATAGCAGAAATTCAGCGTACATTGTCATGGGTATTAGACCATCACGCAAGTTACGCTATGCGAAAAGATTGCGTAGCGCACCGAGTACTGCGATGCTGCGTGACGGGAAAAGACCACTCGTGCATGCCCTTCTCTACAAATATTCAGCTTTTATTTGCGCGCGGGCTGTTCAATTACGCTCGCGAGGCATTCAGATGTCGTGATTGGAAATTCTCCCGTGCTAATAATATATACGCCTGGCTCCCAGGGCGCCGTCCGAGACGACGGCCGCACAAATCTCTCCGTCGAGCGGTCACGTGACGCTTTCCTGCTTCATTTGCGGTCGGAGGCTGCGCGATTGTGTGTGTGTGTGTGTGTGTGTGTGTGTGTGTGTGTGTGTGTGTGTGTGTGTGTGTGTGTGTGTGTGTGTGTGTGTGCCATGTGTGAGAGAAGCACGCGATGCACGAGAGCCATGCATTTATAAAATACCAAAGTACGCAAAATAAAATAATAAATGAATATATATATATATATATAATATGTATATAGTATATAGTATTATAAATAATAATATTGTATATATATATGTAGTGTGTGTGTGTGTGTGTGTGTGTGTGTTGTGTGTGTGTGTGTGTGTTTGTATGTGTGTGGTGTGTGCTGTGTGTGTGTGTGTGTGTGTGTGTGCATGTGTGTATGTGTGTGCAGGCGCGCGCTTGTCATGCAAATGAATGCCGCCCATAACATCCGCGACCTACGGCCACACGTAACAGCGGCGGTGTGTTTGTCGCCTTCGTATGAAAGCCACGATGAATGATGTACTGCGCCTTACACACTATCGGACCGCCCATACACGCCACACGCGCGCCCCGCACCAACGCTGCAACATCGGCAAACACGCAAACAGCAACCACACACGACAACACACACACACACCACACACCACAGCACACAGCATATACACACCACACACACACACACCACACACTACACACACACACACACTCGTTAAGAGAAGTACATCCGAGCGCGCGAAACGCACGTACCACACTCGTGCACCCACAGCAATCCAGCGCACGCACACAACACACACACACACACAGCACACACACACACACACACACACACACACACCACACACCCACACACACACACACACACACACACCACACACACACCCCCCCACACACACACCGCACACACACGCACAGCACCACGACACGGCGAGCAGCGACACTGCACACGACTCAACATCGCACTCGTGCATGCCACGCCAAGGTACCACACACAGCACCTGCGCCGCCGACGCACTGTAAACATGGAGGCCACCCGAATTCGCTAATGAGATATACAATGAATCCAAAGCGTCGATGGCGACGGCGGCGCGCCGGCGAACGATAGACTCTCTGCCTTCACCATGCGGGCACCGCGCAGTAACGCGGCCGACTCACAGCCGAACCGGAAACCTTCACCGCGGCGGTTCGCGCGGGGGCCAATGTATCCACGGCAACAGGCGCTGTCAGCGGTGGCAACAAAAGAGTCACACAGACGTGACGCGCGCCGCCAGGGGGGCGCGTGTTACGTGCACTCAATACCCGATGATCGTCGTCTCGTCGCTAGATGGCCGCCGTCGTCGCGGCCTCATCATGCAGTGCGGAAGTCCTTTCTAGCGGGGGCTGTCGCTGCGTCGTTCGCGTCGACAGTCGAGCTAGCGGGCGCCGTGACATTCGCGACCAGCTAAGCGCATCTGCAGGCGGTGCGTGCCCGCGCGAATAACTTCACTGACAAAAAAAAGTCGTCGGCTTTTTGCGCCTAATCGTTTCCAGTCGGCGTTTAGACAGCATATGCACGCAAAATGTGACCAGTAGAAGCTACACGCGTAGATGTGTGTAGGATGGATGGGATTCAGAAAGGAATGAAGTGGGAAGGGAAGGAATGTGCACAAAAATGTTTACAATAAATGACAATGTCATTCTGCGTTCACCACGACTTGGAGCTTCACGAGCTTTCTAGTCCTCCGTTCAGACTAATTCGAGGATTTCGTGATTCGGACCTACTCGTTTTTAATTCGTGGGTAACTCGAGCTCTGCTATGGTCATGTGCTAACGGAACAGTTTGCGCCATCTCCTCAGCTGTTTGCGTCTGATCGCGCAGTTCTGCTTCGAACGAGATCGTCCACGTATTGGGCGGTAATGTAGTTCAGCAGATCTAGCTGCGAGTCGAATTCGGCGTGTTTACATTGTTGTACGCTAACATTAGCCGCACTAAATGGAAAACGTATTCAGCGGGAGCATACCGTTTACGTCACTAAATTACATCGAATAATATGGTTATCAGTGTGGGGAACGTCGGGATGCAGGAATTGAAAGTCAGCAGAGTGGGTGCTAAGTGAACAGTTTGGTGCCTTCCGCCCGCATGCTAATGCATATTTTTGTGAGCATCTCTATAAAAAAAGGGTAAAGTTACGTAAGGTTTACAAGCATATTGAAGCGGTTTACTTCAATATAAGAGTACTAACAACGGGTGCAACACCTGTAATGTAGAACCGTACTCTAGTGATCGATTTATTCTAATTGCTATACGCCTTAGGTGTGCCCTGTCACACCTGAGTGATTTAGGCCAGCGTACTGCCGACGTATGAAAAAATTTGTCGAATACGCTGCGTACTCGAATCATAAATTATGGGTAAGTTTTGTATGAGCAGTTAAGAGCACGATTGACAGTTATGTGTGAAGCAGCGCTGAAGCACATTGCAAGCACGCTGGACGCTGTATATCGTCGTAAGTAGACGGTGCGAGGTCGTCGAAACAATTTGTGCATGCACAAAATTTTTCGAACGTCTGCGCAAGTGTATGCCCATACGTCCGCAATACGCGGGCCATTAAGTTTAGGTGAGTTAATGGCGATCGTTGACACACGTCTCACACACGTTACTTGTAAGTTACTCATAAGTCGAAAAATTACGTCGAGATAATGT